TATATATATATATATATATATATATATATACTATATATATATATATATATATATATATATATATATATATATATATCAAATTATATATGACAATTATTACATCGCGTATGTGTATTTCCAATTCTGTTCACTTGTCCAAGATATTCAAAAACATTTTGTATCGCTTACAGCAGAGAAATTGCAAATACAGGATATGAAAGTAGAGCGTATATTGTGAAGCGAGGAGTGAAATCTTGAGCCGATCGCATAGCGCGCGCATAAAATTTTGAAGCAATTTCATTTTGGATACATCGCACACACGATTTCCCAGTACTGCCCGTACTATGGAGTTACGCAACACAGTACAAGGCTGGACTGAGGTCTCGAATATGCCAAGAGCACCTTTACGTGCGCAACTGTAATAAGATATTCATTACTCTATCACAACGATGAGCACACGAATAAAAAATTACATAATCCATGCGAATAATTTGACATATGTAATTGCCGCTGCGATTAGGAAGCAATAAGCGGAAGCAATAAAAGCGGACACGCTTATAAGCCGCGTAGAAAGCTTACTTACTCCATATTTTCCAGCTATCTCCTCGACCAGAGGAGAAATAATAAAACCGGAAGTACAACCGATAGTGTTCATGATACCGTATAAAAAACCGGCAAAATTCGGGGATAGATCTTGATTGTTGGACAAGTTGGAGATGCTCGCCGCTCCATTAAACCCAAGCGCCAGCATGAGAAATATGTTGGCGAGAATGAACCTGGCTCCAACGTATCCGACCAAAATGAAGAAGACTCCGGGCAGAAAATGAGCTACAAAAAAGAGAGAGAAAAAAAAAGAAAAGAAAAGAAAAGAAAGACATTTTATTCCCGGTCAAACGAAACGGAAGATTCATAGATTATAATTGGCCATCCTTACAGAATATCGTTGCTCCTTTACGGATAACAGTGACACGAAGAATGTTTTTCCTCTTAAGCGTGTCACCGGCCCAACTGAAAAAGAAGCCGAAGACCATCCTGAAAAGCCAGGGAAGAGCGGCAGCGATACCCCCTCTTGTCAATTCGAATCCTAAAGCTTTTGTTAGATAGATCATCATGGCGTTTTGATAAAAGAAGAGGAGAAACATATTCCCGAAATGGCACACGATCAAGCTGAGAAACGGTATTGAAGTAAATATTTCTTTAATCGGTGTTTGTTTCAACGTCGGCTTTACTTTGCGAACTGTGCCCGCTTGTTCACTGAGGCAAAAAACAGAGAGGAAAAAAAAACATTAAGCGCGCAACACACTCTCTCTCTCTTTCCGTCGTCCTAAAAGATAGACGAAGAGAGAGAAAGAGAGAGAGAAAAAAAGAATAGTATTAAGTTTTAAGTATTCGATATAATATAATTTTCAGACAAGACACTCACGTGATAATGTATTCCTTTTCTTCAGCTGTGATACCAGGATGCTCATCGGGAGAATCGTACGTGATCAGTGCCCAGAAAAATATCCAAACCACCATTAACAACGATGGAATGTACCATCCGTTCTCCCAGTTCAACGCTTCCGCTATACCAGCGACAAGTGGATACGTGAAAATAGTACCGAACGTGCCGCCGAGCAACGACCATACGAAACGGGCCTTCTCGTTCGGAGGCGCCCATTGCGCCACCAAACTGTGACACGCCGGGAACGTTATACCACCGGTCAGACCGACGATTATCCTCGAGAATAAAAGAATGCCCCAATGAAATTGTGCAAGAATCGGACTGAAGAACGATATCGTAACCGCTAGAATCGATGTCCAAAGGATCGCGTTCTTTGCGCCCCATTTAACAGCCATCATGCCGCCCAACAAATTTCCAGGAACATTACCGTAGCTGTATGCGGCGATTAATTGGCCGCGAATTTCGGGCCTCCAGTCGAAAGGCAGACCGTTGAATATATATATACCGGTCGGCCTAATAGCATTTGTGTCTCTCCGTACGCGACCGTTGTACGCCTTCGAATTGGCGACTGCGCTCTGGGCGGCCTCTATCCTCTCCGCAAGGATGTAGTCTTCGAGATAAATGCCAGGATCCAGCCAGGCCATCGTGCGATGTATTATGTTAGAGGCGGTACCCGATAAGTTGCCAACTGTGGGCCGAGCCTTGATCATTGGCACGGCCAGGATTGGCATTTGCAACCTTAGCATGTAATTGCTCCAACAGGCCGTGAACATCATTATACCGATCAAAACTCGCGTCGGAAGCCATCCTGTAAAATAATGAGAAGTGTATGTACAGTGGAAGAGACCAGTGCGACGAGTGAAATCTTATACGACCAGTTCGTATATTAAACTTCACGTAGGAATAGGATAGACAAGGTCTTTTTAATTTTTAATGAAAGTGTAATGGATTGTTTGCTCGTAGCGATTGGAGAATATTCGGGGGGAAAGGATATCGGAAATTTTGAAATTTCGCTTGGTGATTTTTTTCTTCTTTGCTTACTTAGACATTTCCAGATTGGAGATTCGGGACTGGTAAAAAACCAGAAAGGCATACCTTCATAGACAGATCTCGGGATCTTGCGTAGTTCAAGCGTAAAAAAGATAACGTACGTAAATAAACGTAAATAAAAAATTAATTGGCTAATTGTCTAATAAGGTACAAATTGACAGATTGTCGAATCAATGTCATGCCAACTATGATCGCTCGATGTTTAACATGCAAATTTGATCGTTTGTTTTTCTATTTTTAATTAATTTCTATTCAAACTCGAGTTTTCATTGTACAACAAATTTTTCTTTCTATTTTTAAAATTATTTGAATGATTAAGATTTTATCTAATCTTTAGAGAGCAACAATTTGTTGTTAAAAGAAAAAAAAAAGAAAAAATTATATAATCGTTTAAAGAATATTTTGAAATAATATTTTGAAGAACGTTTTGAAAATGAAATTAAATATAAAAATATGCAAAAATTGCGTACAACATGACTTATCTTCTTCACGCGAAAAAGAGGACAACGTTGTATTTGATTGTTAAGATCTTTCCCATAATACTCATTATTCCTAGTCACATATATAGTAGGTATGTCTTTCAAAGAAAGTTCTCGACCACTTTCCAAGCATTCCACACTGTATTTACAAACTATCGTTACCGTGTGCCGTTATTTACAAAATTGATACTGCTCTGGTTACAGATCCTACTCCCGTTTCGTGTACTATTCCAATGAAAAGTTTCTTATTAGATATTTGATTCGGTTTACCAATCTATGTAAAAAAAATATAATGTCTAATACGATATCGAAGACACACGTAAACTAACGTAATAAAGTTATGAATATTTCAAGTGTAAAAAGGAAAAAGAAAGAAAGAAAGAAGAAAAAAACAGAAGAAGAAGATGGAACAAGAGAACAAATATAGAGAATATTATTTTTGTTGCGGTGGAGAACAGTGATTTTTTAAAAAAAAAATAGAATTAACGACATGTAATTTGAACGATAATCTTGTAACAAGGTTAAATAACGGGCATGATTCGAAATCTATGCCGGTAAGAACGAAATACACTGATCGTATTATAAATTATCGTTCTAAACACTTCGTATCGAAATTTCGAATGTTCGCCGAAAATCAAAGGATACCAGAACTTGAGTTACCAGTATTCTAATGATTTTAATCGATATTATATTCGATCGAAAGAATTGATAAAATATGCAATGGTAAATTGATTAGAATACAAACGGTTGAACTAAACCGGTCGTTTCAGAAAATCAGGTTTAACATGTAAGAAAAATAAATTAAATGAAACATAAAGATATTCTACTTACGTGGGAAGAATTTCTTGTAATACTGCTTGTACATTTTGTGGTTTCAGCAAAAGAATTCTCGACACGCACCAGTTATATTGTTATATATATATATATATATGTTCGAAAGGTTTCTTCAAGACATTGTTCGGGAAGGAAATATTTGAAGCGAAAAATCGTTCCCGAAGTTGATGGGTTTATGGATTCCGCAAAAGTTTAATTCTGAACACGAGAACCGACTCGAAACCGCTAAGAACTAACTGATGACATCGGTTATTCCGCCGCCTATTTAAGTGGTCGGTAGGTGAGAGTAAGTGGGGAAGCCAGGTACATCCCTTCCATAGGATAACACGGGAAAAGGACATCGAATTTTAGGGATTGAACCGTGTTACTCCTGCAGCTTGCAGGTCTGTTGACCATCGGTCTTTCTTTTATCGCCATTTTTTTCGCCGTTTACCTAGTCGCCGTTGAATGAAAGCTCTCTCGACAGGTATATCCTCTAACTTGGAAAATTATTCAAATATTTAAAACTAGAATAATTTTGCATATAATTTAATATAATTAGTTAGTCATAACTTTTTGACCATTTAATTAATCAAATTTAAATTAAAAAAAAAAAAAGATCGTAAATGATCGGCCAACTATGCGAATTATTGCCGTTTAAGCAAAATTATACGATTGCACTTTTGTTGAAAAACACTTAACGAAAATTTATAAAATAACCGCTCCTCGATAAGATAAATATTTCCCATTTACTTATGTCTAATTTGACGATTGTAAAAAAAGATTAGACGAAACGATATGTAAACGCAAAAAAATCGACTCTCCTATTAGTCTCTGTTATTGTCGCGTGTTCATTATGATTCCGGCTCAACATCGTGGGACGCGGCTTCCTTAATTTTCAATCATTTGCCAACATTTTACGTAATTCTGCGGTTTACAGATTGCACGTGCGAATTTGTGCACCGGCCACGGAATTTCCGTGACATATCCATTCCTTTTCTATTTTTCTTTTTTTTTTTTCTTTTTTTTTTTACACGAAGATACATCATATTTTTCGATCGATTAATGATCAAATATGTGTTTAATTAAAAAAAACAAATATCTTGAAATCTTGTTTTGTAGAAACATCACGGTCGGATTTCACTTGTGACTCAAGAAAAAATGCATCGATTCGAATTATCGCGCGTATTCAAAGTAATTACAGTACATTTAACTCGATCACTGTTATGCAAAAAGATCATTGTCTTCGGTGGCTATCGATAAACTTTTGTCCATCGGTAACAGGCTACCAATTATCGGCGCTCTTGTTGACATGAATCGCGATGTTAATTGAAAGAGGACACTATGAATCAGTAGTGAAGAAAATAGAAGAAATAAAAAATATTAATACGATCTATAGGCGCGAATGTATGTGTGAATTGATTTTAGATTAGAGAAGAAATAAAATTAAAATAAAATAAAATTGGAAAAGAAATATAAATAATATTTCTCTTCTTTTGATCAATTTTCTTCCATCCAATGAAATATATTTTTGGACGAGTCATTGTAAGCAGCGGAAACAATTAAATTATACATATATCCGTAAGCATGCTGCATCAATTGATGATAGTTTTAAATAATTAATTTGATCCTTAATTAGATAAAAAATATATAATAAATATTTATTACAATAATATATCCATAGAAGATTAACACTTATTTTTGGTAATTTTATTTAAACTATGTGTGAATCTCTCTCTCTCTC